AGAATCCCATCACTGCAGTATAATTTCCTGTACATTTTTGAATCAATATAATCACATTTCTTCCATTTCGTCAACAAAATTCTAACCGATTCAGTAAGCTTCCTAGTTGGATCCCTATTAATTACTATATACGTACTCCTGTCTTCAAACGTATTGAGCATTTTTTATTTGTATTCAGCTTGTTCACACACACAATGGCTGCAGTAACATTATCCTTGTTAGCTCTCGTGAATAAAATATTTGGACTCTTTCTAATGAAACTCCTGGTCATTTTGAGTAACGAAATTAACCTAGATAAAATTGTTAGCAGGTTTCGTGAAGGCTATTTTCTGTATAATAGAAATTGCGATTCCTCAAGTCCAAAACACCGGTGTTATTTAGACTTTTTACATTGTTTTCAATGGATTTGATGAGTTCAAAACAATTTTTCTTCAGGTTAAATGAAGGTAGAGAAAAATTACTTCCAAGTTGTAGTAAGCATTGAATTTCCGTCGGAATGGTAATTTTAGACAAATTAACGAACCATTTGTCTCTAACAGAAACCATAGCTGATTGTACATTAGAAATATCAAAAGAAGACGATTTAATGTCTACTTTATAAACATGATCATTGTTGTAACCTGAAAGTAAACCATTAGTAAACGAACAAGAATTATCAGTAGAACAAGTCCAAGAATACTGAATGGGTTTAATCTTAGAAATCATATTATTATGCTTATTGATCAGCCAATTAATTTTTTGTCAAGTCTCTTATGTTCTTCTCTATGTTTAAAGTTTAAAAAATTATTTTGTCTAGAAAAAATGCTTCACAAAGATAATAAGGAATCCAGTTAGAAATCCTCCTAAATAAAACCACAGTTTGTTTTTTAGAATTATGTAGAGTTCTAAACGCATTAGTGAGTTCAATATTAAGAATTTTATGAATATATGCATTTTTTTTTACCTTCCCATACGCTATTGCGCATATGTGAATCAAAAAAGCTTAAATCAAAATAATAAATCTTATATAAATTTTGCGGAATAATCTTCTTTTGTATACAAAATTTAAAAAACTTAATACGAGCAGTACTTTTAATAATAACTTTACGATGTTCCATGGCTTCAATATTGCGAACCGATTAATTTATTGTTATGAATGGAAACTGCTGAAGATGGCTTGAAGATAGCTGAAACGTTCAGATTTGTATACTATGGATTGAATATCAACTAGAAATATATTTATACTTTTGATTCGCACTAATTACTGCATTTTAAGGCTCATAATTGCCCTTTTTTAATTGTTGTTTATTTGTTTATATTTCAAGAGCCCAATTAGAATTTTTTAATTTGGTTAATGGATTAAATTTACAGAACGGTACTGAATTATTGGATAAAGCATACGATAGCAAAGTTATGTTTAGATGACGGCCTCTGTCAATGTTTTCTGTAATATATTTATATATTTGTACTGGTGTCTTTTTTTATTGTCTCGTCAGATAAAACTTGACGTTCGACGCATTAACAGCTTAATAACGTTTCGATGATCATGTAAGTTACGAAAAAATTTTGCTTGCGCTTTATTATATAACGATTCGATAAATTATTGTATAGCGTACCAGCAGTGAAATTCTGTAACTCGTTATGTGTTCATAACGACAGTTGCGCAGATATTTTATGTAATAAAAAAGTTGCTCAACTGTCGTTATGAACTCATAACGACTGCATAATGAGTTACAGAATACAGGGGCAGGAAGTGTAACGACATCGCCATTATATCACTACGCCTAGCTGACTGATTTCCGTTAACATTTTATATGTGTGCATTAATAAGGATCGGAAATTGGATCGAAACGTTTGCGATTGAAATTATTTTAAATAAACCAAACTTCACATTCACATCCTGTATTCATTCTAATTGGCATTATTGATTGTATTTATCTCAATTGAGCCTTAATACTTAGTTTATTAATTATATTGTATTTTGGTATAAATGTCGAATATGTATGTGTACATTATATTGCCAAAAAAAAATTTTTTTTTAATCGGCCACTTAGCTCAGAAGCTTCCATTTCATGCAAAAGAACACTCCTAAATTTTTATCAAAAAAATATTAAGATTTAAAGGTCGCTAGTGAACGATTTTTAAATCAAAGTTTCGATTTTTCTTAATACATGTTTGATTTGATGCATAAATGGCTTAAACCGGATTTTAAAAGTGGTACTGTATGTTTTTTGATCGCTGAACACGATGCAATAATTCATTTAACTCTACGATATACGTCTTAAGGGATATAGCCATCCTAGCGAGCATAAAAACAGCAATAAGTTTAAAAATTTTTTTTAGTTTAAAAAATAATTTAATATAAAATCTAATTAAAGCACTGGTTAGTGCATACACACACACACACACACAACACAACACATTGAAATCCACTAAAAAATTTTTGTATTTTTTGCATCCAGAATGGCGGCGTTACCGATGACAAAATCTAGCACGGTTTTTATGGAAGTGCTCCGGGGCATGACATTTAGCATTCACAAATTTTGACCTAGAGCAAAAAAAAATTTTTTTCAATGTACATTAAAATACCTAAAGAAATACGTAAGGGTTTGTAAAAATATTGATATTTTCAAGAATGACGGGCATTTGAAGTCACACTTGTATTTTTTGCTAAAAATTTTGTTCAAAAACTGTTCATAAAATAAAAAATTTTTTATATATCGAAAAACCCCTATGTACTTCTCTGTGGAATGCGTCTAAGTTGCAGTTAAAATTTGAATCCATTCGGATAGAAATTATTGAAGTTATTTGTCATGCCGATTTGAAAAATGTTGTTTTGAGAAAAACGCGTTTAAAGTTCAAGCACTCAGCTTGCGTTCATTTTTTTCGTTATAAATTCAATTGCAACTTATTTTTGTGATGATAAAGTATCGAAAAAGCAAAAAAAATTTTTCGATTTTTCGAAAATTCTAGGGTGGGCATACCCCTTAAGAAATACAGCCTGATTAATGTGAAAAAATGACCAAATTTTGAGTTCAAGGTCAATTTTAACAAAGTTCCGAGCGTTCAAATTGGTCGTTACTTTTTTCAAATTGTAAGTTTGTTCACCCAGAACAAGATCCAGTTGGAATTTTCCCGGGACCTCTTACAGGGCCTTCAAATGTTGCATTTAAGGAGGTTGTAAGGAGAATGCAATATGTTAAGAATTGCTTGAAATTTGGAACATAGCTTTATCTACAAAGCATGCTTTTATGTAAATTTTTTCAGATTTTTTGACCAGCGCATTTTTCTGTAAATTAATAACAAAATTCTGGATTTTATAATAGACTATCTCTCTTTCTCTTATAGGAGACTCGATTCTATGTATCTGTTTTCAACAAATATTAATATTTGAAATGTTAAGAATCGAATAAATTTATGTTTAATATATAAAGTATAGCATATTAAAAATATATTTGAACATTAAAACAACTTTTACCACTCAGTTTATTAACAATAGTAAAAAATATAACCAAAGATGTGATACTTCTGCCATTGAAACTGTTTGATGGAGAAAATGTGGCAACGTTGTTTCATCATCGCGAATCAAGAATATTCTATCAGTTGAGTAGTGCCGTCAAAGTCTCACTACAAATACTTCTAAGCATTTGATTTACTAATTACAGAAAAAAATTGTACTAAATGATTTGTCAAAGAACGCTTCGAAATATTTATAGTCACTTAACCTTATCTACCCGTCAGACATTGCAGTTTGCAGTATTACCAACTTCGATTTTTCAGTTTTACATCGTTGCCAAATCATTTCTTGAGCTAAAAATATTTACTGTTCTAAAAAATATATGTTTATCTTTGAAACTTTTACACAAATAAACACTAATATTTTTTGCATTTTAATTGCATTATAATCCATATTTCTTTAAATTTTAGCTATTTATTTCTTCAAATTTTAATGTTGGCTACACTCCATATTTCTTTTGTATTAAAGCATTCCCCTCTCACTGCCCGTCTCAGCCTTATAACCTCCTTAACTGAATTATAAAACGTTTTTAAGGATAGAAAAAATTTTTTTGTAAATTCTAAAATATATCAAATGCCACTTTATGGTTTTGACATCCTCATCAATCAAATGCCTCAATTTGACAATAAAAAACTCTTTATTAGGAAATGAAATGAATACATAATAAAAAAAATATACTATATAATATGTAGTTTATTTCAATTTATTAAATCATGTTTTTTTGTATTATGTACTCATTTCATTTTCTAATAAAGAGTTTTTTTTATCGTTAAATTGAGGCATTTGATTTGAGGATGTCAAAACCATAAAATGATTTACTTTAAAACTTTTTTAAGGATAGAAAAAAAATTGTTTATAATTTTTTATAAAAATTTTCTTATAATCCAGTTAAATGAAACTTTTAAAAGCCTTGTAGGAGGTCCTGGGAAAATTCCAACTGGATCTTGTTTTGTGAACAGATCTACAATTTGAGGGGAGTAACGACCTATTTGAATGCTTGGAACCTTACTAAAATCGATCTTGAACTCGAAATTTGGTCATTTTTTCATATAAATCGGGCTGTATTTCTTAAGGCGTATGTCGTAGAGTTAAATGAATTATTGCATCGTGTTCAGCGACCAAAAAAACATACAGTACCACTTTTAAAATCCGGTTTAAGCCATTTTTGCATCAAATTGAAACATGTATTATGGAAAATCGAACCTCTTTGATTTAAAAATCACACACACACACTATCTCTAAATCTTAATATTTTTTGATAAAAATTTAGGGGTGTTCTTTTGACATGAAATGTAACTTTTGAGCTAAGTGGCCAATTAAAAAAAAATTTTTTTTCTTGGCAGTCTAATATACATATAACATTTAAATTAAAACTTTATTGAAACATATGTGATTAAACAAAGAATAAACTGTTCTTTATATTTAAAGTTTAGAAAATAGTCTATTTTAATTATAAAGTTACAATTTTTAAAATTTTTTATGAAAATTTTGATTACTTTTATAGATTTATTCCCGCAACTGGATCATCAAAAACGTGTAATAGCAAAAAGTATGAAGATGCAACAATGGCCGAACAAACAGAGGGTAAAAGGAAAATCTGAAAAAAGATCATATGACAGATCCGATGATTCTGATTGTAGCCAAAGTCGGAGAAAAAGTCGTAGTAGGGAGCGTATTACTCCAAAAAAAAGAGAAACTTAATTTCTTACTATTGTTGTTATTGATATAATAAAAATATCATGATTTTCATAGAGAAAAATACACAGAACATAATATGAACATTTTTACAGTTTTATATGTATAATTTTCTAATGTTTGTATTTTTTCTTCCACAATTTTTTATGATACAATAATCTCAAGTTGTTTATCATATTGAAATTTTTTTTCAGAAAGCACTCACTAGGTAAACAATAGTTAAATTAGAAAAACATTGATTTTAATGCTAATATAACTGAACCTTCTTTAGACTTAGCAATATCATGCGCAGCACGTCTCTTTTTATATCTTCATACTCACAAGTAACACTACCCAAGTGCCATACGCCGATTTCCCTGAAACTGTGCATACATGTAGTACATTGAAAAATATTTGACACGTATTTTTTATATCTGCCCAAAAGCCGTTTTAAGGATAGAAATCGCCCTTATGAATGTATAGGGGTGAATTCCAGTTGACGAAGTACTCGTATGTTTGTTACAGAATGTGGTATACGATGATTTGCGAAGTTGCTGAATCCAAATCTGCTCCCAATTTTTGAGAATTCAATTTTTTGTTTTTTTATTTTTTTTGGATTTTTGAAAAAATAAAATAACAAAAAATTAAAAAAAGAAGGGAATAGTTTCTCGCCACTTTCACGTTAGTTATTCCCCGATTCGACAGAGAGCAAGAATGTCTTGCTGTCTTCATTTAAAAAAATCAAATCCGCCATATTGATTCCACCATATTGAATTCTCAAAAATTAAGAGCAGATTTGAATTCAGCAACTTCGAAAATCACCATATATCCCATTCTGTAACAAACGTACGCGCGCGCGAGTACTTCGTTAAATACTGGAATTCACCCCTATACATTCATAAGGGCGTTGTCTACCCTTAAAACGGCTTTTGAGAAGATATAAAAAAATACGTGTCAAATATTTTTCAATGCACTACATGTATGCACAGTCTTAAGAAAATCGGCGTATGGCACTTGGGTAGTGTTACTTGTTAGTCTTTTACTCATCCGGTTCTGTTTCAACTTATAACTTACAATCATACAGTACCATAGTGTTATAGTTGTTTTGTGTCATAATACCTTATTTAATTAGTTCCTGATAACTGTAAAGCTTTTGAATTTAATTAAGAGAAATCCTATTTTCGGTCAGAGCGGATTTTAAGTATTTTAAATATTTCGGTGTGAATTTATATATATTAGGTGTTAAACTTAATTCCTGCCGTTTTTCGTCTCCAAAATTGATTTGTTTCGAAGGGAAGATGAATGAATACCTTAATCAACGTAATTTCCTCCATTTTCTACTTTATTACTAATTAATAATACTTTATTAATATTACTTTGATTAAGGTATTTCCCTTCGAAATAAATCAATTTTGGAGACGAAAAACGGCAGGAATTAAGTTTAACACCTAATAGGATGTCTCCACCTTTCTTGCCAATCACTTTTGTGTAGATAGAGCGAACTAAACTGAATCGAAAAGTCTTTTACTATTTTGCAATTTTCGCAATAGTTCACAAGATATTAATTACTAAAAATTGCAAAATATTAGGCTTGAATAATTTTTTACTGTAATACTATCAACTTTACAGAAAAATATTGCAAGAAACTGTAACGTCCGGTGCGCTACATTATAGCACCCCGGCCGTTTACCAAGCGAACGCGAGCACAAGTATAGCGAATAATACAATACGTGCCGCGAAAGCCTATAGGACATGCTACCGCAGCCGTTGCCAACGAACGCCGCGCGCACAGCGCCTGCGCAACTTATAAAATAGAAAAACTAATAGAAAAATGCACTAAAGCACGTAGATAGCACCGCCAAAAGACGGGAAATAACGAACATCATAACTAACAACCAAATAATCACGAGGAAATAGTGCCGATCCACCAAGAACAAGTAAAAACGCGCAATCACTCATAAAATGCATAGCGATGCAACGCGAAACGCGCGCATCGATCACGAAGGCCTCAGGAAACAAATAAAAGCTATTACAATTTAAATAAGGGCACGAATAACGAAATAAGAGCCTTAAACAAACAAAGGAGACTCGCGAGCGCTTCGGAAGAAAGAA